GCTTTATGTTAGTGCAGGACAATGTCTTTGTGCATTTGGTTTGCTCGATTCAGTATCGAGTAGTCAAGGAAAATGCTGATGATGCATTCTATGAGCTCGCAAATCCCAGGGAGCAGATTCAGGCTTATGTGTTTGATGGTAATTCATTTTCGTAACCTGGGATATAGATTTTTATTATCCAATAATGTCTCTGTGTTACTGTTCTTTTTTTGGTTTTTTAGTTTTCACCTCTTTTCATTGTGGCATATTTCTTGTTTCTTAAGTGGTTCGAGCTCTTGTTCCAAGAATGACATTGGATGATCTTTTTGAGCAGAAGAGTGAGGTTGCCAAAGCTGTCTTGGAGGAATTGGAGAAGGTAAGTGGATACCTATCTCTTATGTTGAATCCAATACTTTTATAAGTTTGTGGCAGTGATTCTTTGGATTATTCGAATGCACTCTTCCTGATACATTATTCTTCTTCTTTTTTAGATCAGTTTTTTTTCTTAGTATTGCCAAAGTCATGTCACTGCTATTGTTCTTATCTTATGTACATAATGGATCAGGTGATGGGAACCTATGGCTACAGCATAGAGCACATTCTGATGGTTGACATCATACCTGATGACACTGTTCGCAAGGCAATGAACGAGATCAATGCAGGTACTCATCTTCTATACATTCTCCCCTTGCTTTATTGCATAAAGTTGTTTTCAATATAATTTCTTGGATATCATGTGAAAGATATAGCTGATTTTTGGAAGGACATGGATAACCAAGATAAGTTGCCTACTCGACTTCTACTTTTACTTTTAGCGCTTAGTTTGCAAGATGTAATAGACCAACTATAACTGAAAGTTCCATAACCATTAACCACTGTGAATTGTTTTTTGTTCCGACTCGTGTCCATGTAACCAGATGGTGTGTATTCTTGCTAGTTAACGCCATTCTAACAACATCCTGATTATTGTTTATGAAATTTGTCATCAACACATGTAAAGTTTTTTCTCGGTAATTTTATTAAAATCTAAATTTTTGGTGCTGTTTGATTTTGCCATCAGTTCCATGAATCCAATACAGGGGTCAATTGCTTGCTTGCTTGCTTGATGTTGACGGCAGTTAATTATGGCCTCAACTTCATCTGCAAACAAATAACTATCGCATATTGATTCTGTATTGCAGCTCAACGACTTCAGCTTGCTAGTGTATACAAAGGCGAAGCTGAGAAGGTGCTCCTTGTCAAAAAAGCAGAAGCTGAGGCTGAAGCCAAGTACCTTGGTGGGGTTGGTGTGGCCAGACAGAGGCAGGCAATCACAGATGGTTTGAGAGAGAACATACTAGAGTTCTCACACAAGGTGGAGGGAACGTCAGCTAAGGAAGTGATGGATCTCATCATGATCACGCAGTACTTTGACACCATCAAAGATCTCGGCAACTCATCAAAGAACACCACTATTTTTATTCCTCATGGCCCTGGTCACGTAAGGGATATTGGTGACCAAATTCGCAATGGGATGATGGAGGCATCCAGCGCTCAAATTGATCAGCAGTGAACCCATTTCCTGGGCATCATCCGAAGCACGTTTTCTTGAACTTGACGGCAACTTTGGTAAAATATTATTTAAGTAAATAAGATGAGAGAAAATATACGTGGGGATGATATTTTGTGTTTAACATTCCTTTCAGCATTATCAAATTGCAATTTTCTTTACTTACTTTCTTGTCTTTTCTTTTCCCAGAAGGATATTGCAAATTTGTTGATTGCAAGCTAGGTTTAGTGTCTATATGATCACAAGTCCCTCTTCTCTTGAGTTTTCCCATCTTCCACTAAACAATTGTATTTTAGATGATTTTGACATGAGGGTATCAAAATTATTAAAAACATCAATTTCATTTTATTTATTTTACATATTAACTTTATGTTTTTCTTAGACAAAAATTATCTTAAAAAACACCTCATTTATCATAGATAGGATGAAAACAATGAAAAAATCAAAATACAGTATGTAGGAAATGCCACTATTCAAGAAGAAATATTCTACATGTAAAATTCAACAAGGCAGGAGGAGTTAAGATCTGAAGTAAAGAAATCTCCTTTAGATGTCTAAACTAACTTCAAGATCTTAGGATCTAAAACAAAGAGTCTTCATAAGACTTAAAAAAAAAAAAAAAACATGAAAGAAAAAAAGAATTCAAGAAGACATAAACCTTAAGTCATAATGGAAAAAAAAAGGTGAAAGAAACATTAAAAAAAACAAAACCTAAATTTGCTATGCAAGAGCATACTTGCCCCAATGCATGCGCCGAATGAAGTACGAAATGGGTACAAAAGAGGACGAACATGTGCAGAAGCTTCTAAGCCAACGTGAACCAAATGTATCCATCATCCATGCTCAAATAAATCTTAAGAAATCAGTAACTTCAAAACTTAAAATCTCTTAAAATTCAATAATCATTTCTTTTTATTCAATAATCTTAAAAGTAAAGTTTTTAAACTTACCCGGTAATCAACTCGATCTAACATTTAGATTACAAGTTTTGCTTGTATCATCAAATCATATAAATCAATCCCAATATTTTTTTATAAATTAAAATGATAATGATGTTATTTTAATTAAAAATAAATAATTAATAAATTATAATATTATTTTTAATCAGGTTGTTATCGAGTCAACTTATCTAATCATTGGATTATTATTTTATTTTATTTTATTTTAAATTTAATCTAATTTTAGCCTTAAATTAACCTAATCCTACATTGACATGATAAATCTTAAAACAATAATTAAGAACATGATCATCTGAGCAAGTCTGATAAACCAACATATATCCATACATGTAAATGTACACGCATGAGCACACGGATAAGAAAAAATAATCACAGATACACTATTGATATCTCTTCTATTTATTTATTTTTTATATAGAAATCAATATGATTTTTTCTTCGAGAAAATAAAAATAAATTATACAATGAAACATGCATAAAATACAAATTAACAAACATTGATCCATTCATACATGTCCCCTCCAGGGATGCATTACCAATTAAGCGGAATCTTTGAACCCACAACTTGTTTATATTACACTCTTCCCCATTTCTGAACAAATTCTGACCCCCACGTTCTCTAATTATTATTTTTCTCTCCAATTTTAATTATCTAATTGCACCCAAGCCAAAAAATAAATTAATTAATAGCTTAGAAAATATTTCAAAGAATAAGTTGCAGCATCTGCCTTGGAGAATCAGACAGAGAGGACCTCTTACAGTGCATGAGGGACCAGAAGACAAAAAATAAATAAATGGGGATTGATTTGTTATCTGTGTTTCTTGGAAGGGAGCACCTTGATTTGGATCTGGATGTTTGTTTAGCCTTTTGGGGACAAAAACTGGACCTCTTGCGATGTAGCTGACCAGTTTTGCTGTAGTGTCCATGTTCATAGCCAGCCATTGAAGACCTCTTCGCTGTGGAAAATCAAGATAATTGGGGTTCGGATTGTGTCTGTGAAGGTGACTGCTGCTACTGTTATGAGACAAAGGTTGCCACGATTAGACTTTATAGGTCCTCAAGATTCAAAATATGTTTCGCCTAAGAGTGATGCGTTCGATCCTTCTCAAATCAGGAAGAACATAAGATATTTCTTCAACTATTTCTTGACGAGGAAAGGATAAATATGCTTCCTAACTATTCTTTCGATCTCATTTGAGTTGTCCGACAAATAAACTTCCCAATTGGGTCCCCCATCTAGTTGATGCTGCGCAATCATTGAAATCCAAGCTAAATTTAGGATTATATATAATGGGATGGAAGGAGTTAATTAGGTAACGTATGATTAAATGAGGACTCAATTGGAAAAATCCTTTGATGGGAGGCTCAATCAAGAATTGGGTAAAAGTTAGGGGGCCATATGTGTCCTTTTTTTCTACATTGTTTTGACAGTCTTGTTGTCGGCTCTCAATCCTGTTTGTTGGGTTAATATTTTTTATTGTTTTATTTTTAATGGAGCAACCACTCTTCTCACCCGGTAAAAAATAGGTTGATTCATGCAGAATTAGGAGATTTATGAGATTTATGAGAATCTATTCCTTTTAGAGGTTGATTCATCATTTTAATGCCATTTAAATGATGTTATTTTAATTTTAAAATAAAACAAACTGAATTTTCTTTTGATTTTGATCATGTCAATCAAATTATGAATTAATTAAATTAAATACCACTTAATTTTACATTAAATTCAGCCAAGAATTAAATTCCGGGTCAGCAGAATACTAGGTTGAGCCTTTAATAAAACTAAATTCAAGAGCTTTATCTTTGAATCACGGTGATAAGTTTGAATATTTTCAAGACTCCACAAATAAAAAACACACTTTGCTTGAGCCATCCAACACCTCCAAGAGCCATATAATATTTATCTGATTAGATTCCCATTAACTTATAAACTCTAGTCCCTAGACAATCCGTACACAAGAGGACTATCAACAAACTGTATACGTTGTTTTTGTTCCATTCTGATAATTCATCTGCAAGCTTGTCGCTGGCTTGCTTCCAGGTACTAACATGGGTGTCTTGTTGGATTTGTCTCTAAAAAATCTCAACAATACCTAGTTCATTGCCGCAAATCTCTAATTATTGTTCACTACATTAGAGGACAGAACAGCTAATCAATGAATTAATCCTTGTAATTAATTGATGAGCTAGGGAATCTCATGCCAGATCTCATTAAAAATGTTACAACTATCTCAGAATTATAGCCCTAAAATACTATCTAAAGCGGGTGCCAGGAAGCTCCCTCATAGTCTTTTTTTATCAGTAGGAAGTTTGATAATCACATTACAGGCAAGCTTGTAAGTTGCACAATTATGGGTCATGGCAATGTGGTGATTTTGATTGCTACAAGTCTGGGACCAGTGAAAAGATGCCCATAATTTTGTGCCTCGAAAAATTATTGAACCTTATCTTAGTTGATGCGCCTTTTCGTTGTCATAGCATTTTTAACCTAGCCACTTGGATTGACAGTCCCTTTACCATCCTGCTTTGATTGCACTATATATATAGGTCCATCTCTCTTGACCAAGACATCATCAACTCAACAGAGTTCAGCTTTAGAAACCCTAATCCTCTAGTCATATCCAAAGCTTTAATCACAAGAAGAAGAAGAAGAAGAAGAAGAAGAAAGAAAGATAACATGGGTTACTGGTCTGCTGAGAATGCTACTAATGCCTACCTCAAAACTTTGAGAATGGTAAGTCCAATAACATTTTTTGAACTTGTCATTGTAGTTTCAGTTCGTTATCTGTAGAAGTATTTATGGCAATATTTTCTAACTGGGATTCTGAATTGATCTGATGCAGGGCCAAAGAGTAAACGAGCCAGATGTAGCTGAATTCATTTCGGCATTAGCGGCTGGTAACAATGCACAGCTAATGGTTGTAGCATGTGCCAATGCTGCTGCCACCACTTCATTAGCCTTGGTAGCTGCTGCTTATCAAACTGGTGGGCGTGTGGTTTGCATCCTTCCTGGACATCAAGAATTACAATTGTCTCAGAAGATCCTGGGCTATGATGCCTGTCATGTTGAGTTTGTTATTGGAGAAGCTCAAAGTCTACTATTAACCCCCTACAGTGAGGCAGATTTTGTGCTTATTGATTGCAACCTTGAGAACCATGAAGCTATTCTTGGATCAGTACAAGCTAGAAAGAAAAGAAATGGAGCTGTTGTTGTGGGGTATAATGCTTTTAGCAAGGGATCATGGCGGTCTGGTGGGTCGAAAACACAGTTGTTGCCTATTGGAGGAGGATTGCTAGTGACCAGAATTTCTGCCAGTGCCAAGATTGCTGATGGCTGTGGTTATGGAAAGAGGAGTCATTGGGTTGTTAAGGTAGATGAATGTACAGGTGAAGAGCATGTTTTCAGGGTCAGGTTTCCACAAGGAAAGCAGATTGAAGCTTAATTTTCTCTTTTAGTGCTCCAATTAGTTCTAATCTAGAGAATCATCAAGATGTAAATACGTACCAAGTTATTGAACTGTAATGCTCAATTACTCAAATTTTGAGAATGGAAAACATAACTCAACAGGGACTGAATGTTCGAAAGAAAGATGGACTAGAACATGACCAAAACTAGTGAGCCTAGCAGAATTACCTAAAAATCTCTAATGTGCTGTAAACCTATAGATCATGATGTTCTCATAAATATCCCCAGGATTAACAATCTGGGAAGGGAAACGAGGGTGATTGACCGCATCAGGAAATCCTTGAGTCTCTAAGCAAATACCAGCATACTTAGCATAAACAAATCCACCTTTTCCCTTAACATTATCCAACATGTTACTTGTATAAAACTGCACTCCAGGCTGATTAGTCCACAGCTCCAACTTCCTCCCAGAAACACCTTCTTGCACCACAGCAACCTTCTTGAGGTGTCCAGAATTAACGTTGTCTAGAACATAGTTGATGTCATATCCATCAGGCAGTTGAGTGAACATGCTACCAATCTCACGGGGTTTGTGGAAATCATAAGGTGTATCTTTAACGGCGACAATCTCTCCGGTCGGAATGAGTTCTTCATCGACTGGAGTGATTTCGGATGCTAAAAGTTGGATTGTATGAGACAAGATGTCACCACTGCTGTGTCCACCAAGATTCCAGTAAGCATGCAGAGCCAAGTTCACAGGGGTACGCTTGTTCAGAGGCATAGCCCGCATTTTCACTGCTAGCTTGTTTGTTTTAACTAGCATGTATGTCACAGACACAGCAACATCTCCAGGAAAACCTACTCAAAATCCACAACCAATCAATCAATGCAAGTATTACATAATTAAGAACAGATACAAAGTAATAGCACAAGGCATATGAGATTGCATTCTTGCTATATATGCACATAGCAGCCGATCCGGCTGGAGACTGATTAGGAAGGTTTTCTTTGAAAAAGTTTTGAAAGTTAACCTTGTTAAGCTGGAATGACTCTACAGGGCACCGTTAACTATGGATTGACCGAAAAACACACGACTCGAGCCTTGGATCAAGTGAGATCCTGAGCCGAGTTCAGTATCTATGTAAGAAACAATGTACTTTCTCACGTACACTCTCCAAACACTAGTTCTTGTGAAAATTAAGCTGTCGTAGCTGTAATTTAATTTACTCATCCAATTTCCCAACAATTTACTTCTTTAAACAAATTGCATTTGATTAAGAAACATTACCTTCCTCTCCATCGAAGCTGTTGTAGGTGAACGTTACGTGGTTATCATCATGGCTACCTACACCCCATATAACTTCACTAAAACCTTTTAGGCCACCTGAAAAATATATTAAACAATGAATTAGCAAATGTATCTCTCTAAAGTGATTATATTATAAACAATTCTAAAAAAAATTTGGAATTAAACAATGAATTAGCATATATATGTATGCACCATGTAGCATGTTCCTTCCATCATTAGGGACCAACTTATAATCAGTTCCATCCAAAGTAAATTGAGCTCTTCCAATTCTATTAGCAACACGTCCAACTATAGCTCCAAAGTAGGTGGTATCATTCTGCAATATAATGTAGATATTCAATCATAATAAAATGAAAAATCCAATATATATATAATGAAATAATATTTCTTTGGTTGCAATATGAAATCAATAATAAATATAGAGAAAAAACAGCAATGGCATAATTGAATAAAAAACCTAAAAGACCTAGCAAAGTAAATAAATTAATGAGTTTTACCTTGTAATCATCAACTGAATCAAATCCAAGAACAATATCATCTAATTTTCCTGAAAAAGTAAAATCAGGCAAAATTTATATTATTGTCAATATCACTATCATAATATTTAATATTTAATCATAATATATATAACAAATATGAAATAAAAAAATCAAACCATTTTTATCTGGAAGAATGACTGAGATCACCGTGGCACCATAATTAGTCAATTTAACAGAGAAATCTCCCATTTTCAATTCATAAATTCCAATATCTTCGTTCACAGCTTCAACGTCATTAGCAAAGAACAAAATAAGGTAAACAAAGCAAGAGAATAAAAAAATATTAGCCATTGTTGTAAATCACTGTTAGAAGAAAGAAAGAATTACATCTGAGTAAGTGTGTGGGTGTATACATATATATATACACACATACACATATAGGGATATAAGGATGTAGATGACGAGGATAGGTGTGGTTAGAATTAAATTTCGAAGATAAATCTTTTCAAATTTTTCGGTTTAGATTTTGAAGATAATTCTTTCAGATTTTTCGGTTTAAGATTTACTTCAAAGATTCTCAAATTTATTTTTATAGTTATTTATACAAGAAAACTCAAATTTATTTCTATGGTGAAGTTACTCAAGATGCATTATTTACACATAATAAAAAAAAATATTTTTTTTTAACTTTATACAAGATCAGTGAGACACGACTATTTTATAGGTTATTATTTGGATTAAGTTAGATAACATATTTTGATATTTTTTTAAAATTAAAAATATATTATTACAAAAAAATAAATTAAAAGGTGAATTTTGATTTTAATCGATTATAGGTCAACTCCTAAATATTTTATTTTAATTTGATTTGAGTTAAATTTTAAATCAAGTTGTAAAACTTACAACTTGGATTTAATTTAAATTATGAATTAGTTCAACACTTCAAAATGATTAGAATCATTCCATTGGAATGAACAAAAAGCGTTGATATTGGCATTTGTAAGATTGCTTGACACAAGTAATTAATGAAGCATTGCACAGTTTTTATTGTTATAATAAGTTGATTAAAATGTTGGAGGAAATTAGCTATAGATCATTACTAAATAGTTAGAAATCAAGTCAATGAGGATAATACAAATTTGTGTGTGTATGTAAATATATTTGAAATCACTTATCAATTTCAAATTTATTTTTTATTTACACCCTTTTTTATATATAATATTTTGATTTTGATTTTTTAACTCACTATTAGTATTATGTTGTTAGCAAACAACAAAAAAGTTAGAAATACAAATTTATTTTGATTTTTTTTAGTTTAAATTTGTGTTATATTGCAAACCGGATAAAAAAATTAAATGCAAAAAACAATTGTGAAGGTATTATTAATACTATTTAAAAATTAAATGATTAAAATATTTTATTTTCTCTCATGTAGCCTTCAAATTATATATATATATTGCAAACCACAGAGTGTGTAATGATGATTAGCTGTGTACAAGGCACAATCTAATCTTTTGAAGATAGCTTGCTGTCATCTATTCATATGTGCAGAGAAAGAAATTTCCGTCTTCCCGTTTGCAAAGCTTTCGATAAGCATAAAATTTTACCTTAGCCAAGCTGTGAGAAGAGTAACAAGTTAAATTTCATTGAGAGAAAATAATTTGTTTTTTCTATCAAAATATATAATTTTTGTTTGTTCTTCATTTAATAAAAATCAGTTAATTAAAACAAATATATATAAAAAATATTTCTCTAATTGAAATCATTTTATCTTATTAATGCATTCTATTTTTTTTTTTGACATTTTTACCATAATTTTTTTTTCATAATTATATATATAAAAAGTTTTAATTAAAAAATTAGTATTATGATAATCTTGAAGCCAATTTATTAAAAAATAATTTAAAAATAATACATCCCCAACGCCGCGTATTGTCATGAAAGATTTTTTAAAAGTTGTCCCCAAACCAAGGCTCACTCCATAAGTTAACATAGAAAAACTTGACTAAGCCTTTGTCTGGCTTGAGATTCAAATTAAATTGAGTAAGAGCTGGCCGATATGATTTGATTGACCTAACTAATCAAAACATAACCCGATCAAAATCCAGATTTAATTAAGAAAGAAATTCAAGGCAACATCATTCTAGTCCCTTTTATGTATACCAAGGCTTCGTTTAGGATTGTGATCTAACCATGCTTTTAATTTTATTTTTTTAAGCTTTAATTTAATTTTTTATATGTTTTTGAATTGTTTTAATGTGCTAATATAAAAAATAAATAAACATTATATTGATGCATTTCGAAATAAAAACCATTGAAAAAGCAATATCTACCACACTCCCAAACATGTCCTAAAACCATAATGTCTTAGATCTACTCGGGTCAATTAAGTTTACTTGTTAAATATATTACTCGGAATGGGCCAAATTGGATTTAATAATTTTGTTTTTAATTTTTTTTATTTAATCATATGATTTTAATTTAAAATTAGAGGGATTATGTGTGTAAGGATTTTTTAGATTCAAAAAAGTATCTTTAACTTAATTTCACCTTAAAAAATATAATAAATACTCTTATAATTTTAATAAACTAATTTCTCAACTCAAAACATCTTAAATTAATTGAAAAATATAATGAAACTAGATAAAAATCTTTTAACCCCAATTCACTTTTCCCAACAAAATGGAAGCTAAAAACACTCTAATGGCATTCAACTTCTCATGAAGAACACATTAAAACCAAATTTAATATATTTTTTTTGTTAATGAAATCTTAACGTAGAATCATTCTCTTTTTCTCTCCTTCATTGTTTTTCTTTTTATAACATTCTATCTCTTTTCTATCAAATTTAAAAACTGATATATTAAATAAAAAAGTTTTGAACTGAAGGGACCAAAAAGGAAAAAAAATTATATTGGCTAAAATCTTTGTAAAGGCACTCAATGTACAAATTAAAAAACAAGTGTGTGTACGCAAAATTAAATATAAAATGTAATGTAAGGATATTTTCTTAATACCATAGAAAAAGCAAGTCCGAAAGAAATGGACTAGAAAAGAAGAAAAATATTATTACAACCACATTGTTTTACTTAACTATAATAGTAAAAACACCATACCATTCAAGTTTTTTTTTAATTTAATTTAATTTATATATTCATTCTAAATTGAGTTCTAAATCTATATTTATTACAAAAATTTTAAATCGTTCACAATCTTGTCTTTCTATTAATATTTTTGTCAAATTTTCTTCAAATTGAATCCATTTTAGCACATTAAATATGCTCATTGGAATGAAAATACTGATATCCATCACCTTTTCTTGCAATAAACATCATCTTCGTGAATAAAATATGCATATTACAAAATGGACAAAAATATCTATTGAGAAATGTAGAAAACACTTGGGACCTAATTGATGAAATTTATAGAATTGGGATGGAATTGACAACAATATATTTACGTTTAAGACCTCATTGAGGTTTCCATCTCTGGTCTACAAGAAACTCACCATCCCATGACACACTTGCGACAAAGCTAGCTAGTCCTCAGCAAGAGGATATAGCAGTAAAACAATGAACAAAAGTTCAGTGAGTGGTTAATGCCACTGCCATTTTTCAGCTTGCAATTTCCTATTTGAAAACTTCCCCAGGCAATGGTAAAAGAAAACACTCATGGAAACTAGAGACAGCTACTGCAGCTACCTAGTTCATGAACAACTGCTTCCATAGATGGTCTTTCCATAGGAGACTCCAGAGTGCAAAGCCAAGCAATTCTTGCAAGCTTAGCTGCTTCGTATTCAAAGAATCGGCCATGGAGATTGGGGTCAATATAATCTTGGAATCTGCAAGCATCTGCTCCAAGACGCACCAAGTTACTCACTTTTTGCTTCCCTGAGAGAACTTGGAAAACGATTACTCCAAATGCATACACGTCACTTTTGTCTGTGAACCGGCCTGTGGTAGTGTACTCAGGAGCTAGGTACCCCATGGCGGCACTGGTCTTGAGTGCTGAGAACACGATGTCATCCGTAAGAAGGTTCTGAAAGCCAGAATCCGCGAGCAACGGATTACATCGCTGGTCAATGAGGACCTTTTCAGCAGTAATATTTTGGTGGATCAGAGAAGGTTTGTTTGCGCTGTACCCATGCAAATATGCTATACCTGTTCATGTAATGAAAAACAGAATCAAAATAAAATCTCCATAAAAAAATCCAATATGAACTTTAAATATCATAAACAGAATCCAGCACCATTTGATTTGTTTTCTATTCTGTAAAATCTGTTATAGCACCTATAGCGAGAGAATTATACAGTTTCTGGACAATATTCAAGCCTTCTTAGCTCATGGAGACAGAACGCTCATTGGCTCTCATCCGACCTAATCTGTCCTAGCTTGGCATTACCTTCAGACAGAAGATAAAGTAAATAATTTCTTCTAGTGGGTTTCCCGGTCCCTGAGGGTGGCCGCCCGCACAATGAGCAAAAATATCATGTGCAGATAAATACCTCCAATACTAAGTCATTAATTTTGACTACAAAATGCACTGGCAAAGCGCAAGGGACCAGAAGGGATTAGAAACTGAAGTAAAATGAAATATAGCATATCTTTGATCTGTTCTTCCTAGAATCTTCATAAGACATTTTGATTATCCTTCATAACCAGCCTAGAATAGTTTAATAATCCTTTCTTCTCAAACGTTTGAAACTTCAAACCTTCAAAAGTGACAGAAAAAGATTCAGAAATATTGAGTCACAGATAATCACATGGGAAAACTGACCTCTGGCAATACCCCTCACAATTGAAACCCTGGTGGACCATTCAAGCACATGGCCATCCCCATCCTTCACATCAAGATATCTCAGCAAATTACCATTGGGAACAAAATCATAAATGAGAAAGCACTCCCCTCGGCCCCTTGAACAGCAGAATCCTCTCAACCTCACTAAATTCTCATGCCTCAGTGATGTCAAAGTATTCAACCCCTTCAAGAACTCAGCTTCCTCCGACTTGCAGCTGCTTTTACTAATGCTTTTAATGGCAACCGTGGATCCATCTCTTAAAATTCCTCTGTAGGTTGCAGAAAAGTTAATCTTACCTAACAAATTCACCTTGGAAAAGTACTGTGTGGCTGTCTCCACCTCTTCCAAGTTGAACCTGAAGCTCTGGAAGACATCCTGTGCATTCCCGCTTAAATTCCTGCCATCAGCCAAAGGGTCCCATCCATTAGGATACTCAAGACTGATTAGAGGAGAGCCATTCTTCCTGTATACCCCCTTTGCCTGGTCAGTACTCAGGCGGCTATCAGAAATTTCATATGGGCTAGCAAGCTTCTGTTTCCGACGGCGATACTGAATAAATGTCAGAATTCCTATGGCTGCCAGTAAAATAGTCACAACAAATGTAACAACAGCAGCTGATGCGTGATGGGCCTTGGACTGGTTCGAACACTGACTTTGGTTGCAACGCAACTGCAAATTTGCTGTTTCTGGGATCTCTCTTGGCAGGCCATTTACTTTTGTTCCATAGGGTTCAGGTCTGCTTGGCATAAGACCAGATGCATTGCAAGCTTTCAGAGACATAAACCCAGCTCCACATAATCCCAAGTTGTTTTCATACAAGAATCCATCATCCAATCTCTTAAGAGCTGCATCAAACAGTTAAACACAACATTAAATCAGATTAGGTCATTTCCAACAAATCAAACTAGTCAAAAAACAGAAAAGAAAAGAAAAGGCACAATCCGATTGATAAAAACCAATACCTAGAGGTACATTGCCAGAGAGTGAATTATTTCGGATATCTAGAAATTCAAGCAGAGGAGCATCTGCTACTTTTGTTGGAACTGAACCAAATAAGTGATTGTAGCTCAAATCTAGCCTCATTAACATCCCCAAATCCCCTAAACTCGCAGGGATTGCTCCGGTGAGATGATTTGACTGCAAAGCAAGAACACTAAGCCTCTCCAGGGACCCCAGCTCAGAAGGTATACTTCCAGTGAACTGGTTATAACAAAGCTGCAAAACTACAAAGACAACACAAAAGCATGGATAAGCACAACACAATTGATAAGACAAAAGATCATTATCCAATACAAGACAGTATAAAAACGATCAGCAAGTTTTGATTCTCTGATAAGAGAAACTTGTTAAAGCATAGCTGCTGAATCCAGCACATAATCAAGGAATATGTTCAAACTGTTCAGGAACCCACATGAGTGAACTTGCAGAAAAGCATTAATGTAAGGGAGTTCCAGTTTTGGAAGTAATAGAAAAAGGGAAATAAAAAATGGAACTTTTCAAGTAAATAATCTCTAAATCAGAAATTTAAAAATTTGTACACGCACATTTGAATCCTAAGTTCGCAGGGTTTTGATTTCCAAAAAAAAAAAGAGCGTTTCACATAGGATTGTGACAAGGATAGCTGTATGAGGAAAAACTAAGAGGCGTTATTGTGTATCAATCTTTCTTCTTCTTCTTTTTTTTTTTAATGTTTCTTGAAACACCTTAAAAGTCTTATGAACTACCTATTTTCAGTTTAAGGCAAAGAAAATCCATATCATAGAAAGAGACAGATAGTAATGAAACAGATCATTGTAAGGAGATAATGACAATTAGGAACAGACCATAGAAAATAACTTTCAAAATTTTTCAAATAAGGCTTTTTAAAGAAAATCAAACTAGCTGCATACATGATAAAGCTCAAATTTTTCCTCAAAAATAAGCATACCAACCTTGCAAATTGGCCATGTTTCCAATCTCAGGAGGTATCTCCCCGGACAGATTATTCACATTCAAGTACAAATCACTCAGCGCGGTCAGGTTAGCTATTTCTCTTGGTATCTCTCCATACAAAGAGTTGTAATGCAAGTACAAACCAGTCAAATACTTTAACCCAGCAACAGCAGGGGACACCTTCCCGTTAAGCCCTTTTCCTTGCAATGAAATATTAGCCACTTGACCTTTCTCATTGCAGGCAACACCTTCAAATGAACCATCACATGGGCTACCATTAATGTTCCATGAACTCAGGTACCTGGCTTCCGGGTCTAGAGCATCTTTCATATCCATGAGTGCTCTAATCTCAATATTTGCAAGAACCCATTGTGTTCGTGACAGGAAAAGAAAGAAAGCTAGGAGAAAAACAGCAAAACCCATTTCTTGGTTTTTTTAGCTCAATATGTTAGAGGATGACCCTCTTTAACAAGGGTTTTGGACCAATGGTCTGGTTCTCAAACCTCACTTTCTTCTGTTTCTTTATTTTGACTGTTTGTGCTTGTTTTTACACTGCAGAAAAGCAAAAGTGACCCCTCTCTCTCTTTTCTTTCTGACGTACACAAATTCTCTTTGGCATTTATGTTGTTCTGTTTCAGTGTCTCGGGCGTGGCGAGGAAGAGACAAAGGTGACGGGGGTATATATCCATGCTCATTGGAAGGGTGTCCTGTATGGGAAGACTCGAAAAAGAGGAAATCTTAAATGTGATTTTGATTTCTGACCGTTGGTTAGTTGGATTTCTTGAATGAGTATGGTGTCTTACGGAGGCTCAGTTGCATTCTCGTTCGTTTGGAGCGAGAGATTGTATTGGAGATTGGCAACAGCTGTCTCATTCGGTGTGTTCGAAATTTTGATTATTATTATTTTTAAAAGTATTATTATTTAAAAATATGTTAAAATAATATTTTTATATCAAAATATCAAAAAATAAAAAAAAAATTTAAAATAAAAAAAAAATATTTTAAAAAACTATTTTTTTAACACAAAAGCGAACATTGACTTCTCTTACTTCCTTCTCTGCTGGTCATGGAGAAATTGGCATGGTTAGGAAGAGAGTAATAGACAGTAAGTTTTCTTTGAAAAATATAAACATAGTCTTATGAAATAAAAAATACAATTCACATAAAAAAACAAAACAATATCATGATGTTTCATCTTTTAACTCTTTAGATCTAGAGCTAGAGTTGTGTGTCACAGTTGCTGATTTTCCATTTGTTTTTATTTGAATATTTCAATTGAATTTGTGTTTTAGAGAGAATGTTTATAAATATAAATTAAATTTATTTTAGTTGACGCGATAGAATAATCTAGTCTACTAACCTCTCATTCTATATTAAACCGAATAGGAGGTGAACTAAATAAATTTGATTAATTTTATGGTTTAATTTACGGTTCACTTAATTTTGTTAAAACTCGAATGAGATTTGTTTTCAATATTTTTAAAATTAAATTAATAATTTTTTTTTTAAAATTGAAATACCATGTTTTGAATTCACCCTCTTGACCTGTAGTTAGTATGAGATAGGTTATAGGTCAAATGGATTTAATAATATTGATTAAAAAATTGATTTAACCTTGTGTTAGAATAACGTATTGCCTGGTTTGGATATTTACTCAATTTTTTTCTTGAACTCAAGGCAGAGTAGCAATCCAAGGAGAAGAAAAGGTTGTTTATCGGGTGTTTTGATATATTGATTTTGAAAATAAAAATAAAATCTGCAAAAATATATATATTTATTTTAATATATTTTCAAATAAAAAACTATTTTAAAAAATATCATTAACTTTAATATCAAATACAGACTTAGTCATCTTTTATCCATTTTCAATTCTTCTGGAAAGAAGCATATATGGTGAGATTACCAAGAGGCACTTGACGATCGAATTGCAAAATTAAGTGCAAACAGTAATAACATAATTATTGAGAGTGATTAACACGCATGAAAGAAGAAAAATAATGGAAATGATTAGCATGCATGTGAAAATGTTCGTAATCAGTTAATCTTCACAAAGACAATATGTCTCCTAATTAATGAAATATGAAGAAATAGTAGCCGAGTAATAATTACTCATTGGTCGTTGTCTCGGAAAGAATGAGATGCTGGAGACAGACTTGACATATCTTTTTATATCTTATATTTTGAAAAGACAGAAAATTTATTTTAAAATCTGTTCATATATATATATATATATATATATATATGATTTTATTTTATACAATTATTTTAATTTTTATAATCAGACAGATTTTAATGAACACAACTTTAAAAAAATAATATTTTAAATTTATATTTTACTATTATTATTATTAACATACTATTTGAATTAATTTATATATATTTGAATTAATTCAATGAATCATAAAATTAATAATTATTTAAATTTTTAGAATTAATAATTATTTAAATTTTTAGTGTACTTAAAGTTTGTAATACTTGAATTAATAATAATATTTTTTTAAAAAATTAAATCTAGTGAGTTAAATTACATCTCTCAATATTATATTTTTAAATTCCAAACTTATTAGTCTTGTTTATCAAACTTTATTGTCAAAATTAATTATAAAACCTATACCCTTACAGGGGAAAAAAAGGCACATGTAATGATATACTGTTTAATCATGGCATAGATATTCCCCTGTATGATATATTTTAAGATAAAAAATTAAGGAAAGGAGAAGATACATGATATTGATTGAACAACATCATGATATACCCTCGCCTGTAATTCGAGGGAGAAAAATAATTTAGAGCCACGAAATGAGATATGTGATGGTGGTGAATAACAAAACCGATGGAATCGAGGCTAGGATTTTCAAGCTTAACCTAATCTAATAACTCCAAGAGGTAATTAATAAATATAGAACAAGATATAACGATTTGATTTTACTCTTAGAATCTTGTAGGATTTTGTTTTTCAATCTAAATAATATAAATTCCTAAGTTTTCTTTTCTTTGACATAAAACATTGTATCCATGTTACACAACTCTTTTATTTAAAACTATCTAATCCAAACTTTGACTCAAAGCTTGAGTCATGGACTCGTAAAAAATAAATAATTTTGTTTTAATATACTTTTTTACAATAAGATTTTGATTAAAATAATAATCTCAAGTTAATTAAATATGATATTAATAACTTTTGTTTAATTTAATTAATGTTATTTAAAAATATATTAAAATGATATATATCTAAAAAATTATTTTTAACATTAAAACATTAAAACAATCTAGAAATATAAAATAAAATCAATTTTAAAAAATCAATTTTTTTAATGAAATCACAGCATTGCTGTACTAACAAATTTAAATCTAGCTCGGCTAGGTTTTAAATTATCAAAGTGTACTATATCAGTTTAATAATACTGTTTATAGAAAATATTTTTGAAGTGGAAGCTAGAGAGATATTTTAATAATAACTATGATCAGACGTGTAATCGTGCCATATTTGATGCTAATTAGATTCGAAATTTGAAAGTTAATGGATGAGCAAAATTATGAGATGCTTCCAAGCCTAAGTTGGCATGCAACCTCCTGATTGTGACAGTCAAGACATCTTTTTTTTTTTAAAAAAAAAAAAACATGGATATGTAGGTAAAGTTATATAAAACTTAACTCCATAATTAATTCCAGTAATTTTAAAGGAGTTCAAAACTTGTAATAATTAAAAAATAAATTTATTTTTTTTATTAATATAAATATTCAGGCTAACTTATATATATTCTAACTAATTTTATAAATTTTAAAATTAATAACTATATAAAATTTTAATAACTCAAAAATTTATAAAACTTACACTAACAATTTCTAATCTATAATCTAAATAGCTGAACTAAACTACTCAAGTTGGTTTAAGTAAATCTATCTATCTTTAACTGAAGAGGGGGATATAAAAGTAATGGTGCCACGTGGTAATTTATGAGTTGTCAGTTACGGTACTGTTCAGGCTCATGGTAATAGACTACCTGCTGTCTAGAAATAGTCAACGCAGTTCAACCTCCCGAGCCAACCAGTTTAAATTCAAAAAATCATAATCCTGTAAGCACAAGCCTGTAGGAAGCACATCTTAATTTCTTGATGTCCAGGCAAAATATAATTATTTATATTTAAAAAAAATATAATTTGAATTCACCTGTGACTCAAGCCTAGCTTTCATATATCCGGATCTGATCTCATAATTATGTTTTTTCTTTTTCAAAATAATGTAACATTACTTGAACTTGTGATCCATAGCCTTAATTAATTATAAATCCAGATTTGATATCATAACTATGTTTTTTTTATTAATATTAATTTATTATTACCGTGTCTGCTAATTGTCATATATACGTGGGAGTACTGCCAACTCTGTCTCAATGCTATTTTTCTTTTTCTTAGACCCACTTCAGGCATATCTCAATTTCTTGAGCTGCATTTTTTGTTCGATGCTTTGTAACTTTGTTTTCTTTCCCTGTTTTGATCAAGCATTTTTTGGGCTGTAGATTTTGTAATTTGTTGAGAAAGCAACCAGTTAGAAGTTTCCTGCGAGGTTAAACTATGAAGAACAGTTTGTGATTGCGTAGCAATCCACATTCATGCCATGGAATAACGCTATAAATAGTTAAGGTTAATGTGCCTTCCACGTTACCTGTTCACGTGTGAAGTGTCACATATACAGCTTGTGCTTTTCAGCCTTTGGTACAAAACCAAGTAAAAAGAATCAATGTATTTTTGAAAGTGAAAAGAACGTAATAACTTGAAGATCATCAGCTGGTGTTTCAGCAATAAAAACATGGCGAGGGGCTAATTGTTATGGACGAAGTAGATTAATTCAGATTAACTCGAGCTTTTAATTTAAGAAAAAACTCCGAAAGACAACGTTGCTGCGATAAAAACTGGGATTTTCACTAACCATGCACGACCAAGCCCTAAGTGAACAGATCACTGAATTGACGATAGGTCTTGTAACAGTGCACTAGCTTTGAGTCTCAGACAAAACTAAAAGACAAAACCTTGTTCTTTTCCTGTCGCAAAAATTATATAGTAGAGACCAAAGCAAAGTTCAAAAAATAATCGAAGAAACAGCACAAGTCAATGAGTTATGCTATTCAGAATAACTCAACTCGTAAGATTTAGCCAGTGCTATTAAATAAAAAAACCCCCATAAAAAGTGGTTCCCAGCACTGATGCAAAATGGTGCTTTCCATATGCTAGATGCTTCAAGGAATAGATTCTGCCTCCCTCGCGAATAAGTGAAGAAGCTGATCACATGATCGATCTCACAACCATGTATAGAAAGCCAGACACAAACTTTATGCTGTAAAAAACAAGTAAAAAAACCAGTGGAAAGGAAGAATCCAAAGAAAATCACATGATATAGGGGGGGGAAAGAAGATTTTGCAGATGAAAGTTGGACCATATATGGTCAGAAAAGACCACTCACATACTTGCTTTTGCGACACAACTACATCATTTTACTTGGTGGAAACTATGGCACCACAGCAAGGTTACAATTCAATAATCGATCCACTACTGTTTAGTGCCTCTTTTGTCATGGATTACCTACCTTGCTCGTGTCCTGTGAATTAATGGCGTCCTGACATCACAATGATAACACGC